GGCGCGCTTGCCAAAAGGGGGGGGAAGGCAGGTGGGTTGTGTGCAGGCGTTCCTCCCCCATAATGAAATGTGTGTGACCCCCCCCAGCACGCGTGCGCGCATGACAGGCGCAACCCCCCCATAGGGTCGGTTTTTTGTGACTTCCGGTTTGTCCTCCAGAGCCTTCAGGGAAGCCTCCGGAAGCCCCCTGAAGGCTTAAACCGGCCCTACGAGCAAACCCGAAGTCCGTACTGAATTTCCGGTCTGCCTGCAGGGCTGGTTTTTTGTGCTCCAGAGAAGCTCCTGAAGCCTCTGGAGGGCCTCGGGGTGAGGTGGGGTGGGGGAGGCTGTTTTCTCCCTCCCCAGGCTCCTGTAAAGCCTTTGGAGCCTGGGGAGGGCGAAAAATGGCTTTAAAAAAGGATGAACTCAGCTGGCCAGCTGACAGGGCAACGCCTCACGTGCCCTGACAAAGGGCTCCGCTTGCCCTCTGTGGCAGACGTGCCATAGGTTCGCCATCCTGGGTTTAGGGTGAAAAAAATGGATCTGCACAAAGCAAAACTTTTCTCTCTACATGTCACTGTTTATTTCCTTATAACCGCATTTGCAGAGTTTCAGCACTTGAGCTATCTGAAGCTCATGTAATGCCATTTCTTCTGAATGCTTCTACAGAAGCCCGCCTTTCACGGATTCTGGTTAAATGCAGTAAAGCCACAATGGAATTCAATCAATGTTTGCACACATAAACACATCCAACAAGTAGACATCCATTACATCTGCAGGCTAGTTGTGCGAAGTCATGTGCCGAGACAAGTGATGTCTTTCTCGAAAATACTCCTGGCAAACAGGACAGGACAGTTTTTCCTCCTGCCTCCTTTTCCTTTGCGATTCTGTTGAGCCCTCAACCTTTTTGTGATGGGAGCGCATGTGCAGCACAAGGTCTGATGTCATGTGGAAGGAGAGGCTGCACTTTGCACACCAGTTCTGGGCCGCCATACCGAGAGGGGCGAAAGTGGGAGGCAGCAGAGCCCAGGACGCGGAGGAGGAGGAGGAGGAGAGGCTGCAGCTGGAAACAGGAGCAGCCTGCGTCTGCTCACCTGCTTCCTTTGGCCACGGGGCCGAGGAGAAAGCGGACGGGTTGCCCTGGATGAGGTTGGTTGACAGCAGCTGGAAACCACCTGAATCGCTTGCCAGGAACCCGGAAGCGAGGCGGTCACTGCACGGCATGAGGTCAGTGGCAGCGATGCATTCCGACAATTTTCTTGGGGTTCCTTCCTTGATAGCCTTCAGAGGTTGAAAAACAGCCAGAGCCCCTCCATCTTCCCAGCACTTGGCTGGTTTGGTGAAAGCACTTTTGGGTTCCCCAGCAACGCTGTTGGGCCACACAAAGGAGAATGCGCCACCAGGGGAACACTGGACTGCAGCTTGGTCCAAGCCAGTCTTCCTACTACTGCCTCGTTCTGCCTCTTTGACTTTCTCTACAGACTTTCTCCTCCTCACTTCGGTGAATGCACTCTCCTTTGGTCGCAGCACATCCTTAACTAATAGGTGTTTCCTGGTACTGAATGTCCAGCAGGGTTCCCTTAATATGTGCTCCACAGTTCTCCCATCCTTGAGCTCGCTGTAGGCGGCTTTCTTCTGTAGACTATTTGTCTTCTCAAATAACGCAGATTTTCTCTTTTGACGGCTCTCCGTTTCATGGCCGCTCATTCTCCTCCCCTCAAAGGAAGCGACCCTTTTAAACTCCAAGTCCCTAGACAGATGGTGGAAGTTTGCGGATTGTTCCATAAATATGCTTTTCACCATCTTTGGGAGAAGACCTTTTGTTCAGAGCTGAAACCTATTCTTCAGAAAGCAGAAGAAATGAGCAAAGCAGCACCGGGAGGCTGTCTTGAAGTCTGGACAATCGGGTTCTAGAACGAGAGAAATCAAATAAATAATTATTGGACTGGATTCCTGGTTGGGAGAAATTTAGTGATCAAACCAAAACAGATCTTTAATGACCTAGATTAACGCTCTGTGTTGCAAAACCATTAAAACAGTCTCTCCAGAGGCCCTTGAGCAAAGGTTGCGTGCAAATCTTGCCGAGTTTTGTTGAAGGGATAATGCAGCACTGACTCACATACTTCTGGCAACAGGAGGCAAGGTTTATTTTTACTATTTCTTTATTAAACAAATGTAGGTAGCTGCCCTTCACAGACAAAGGTGACTCTGGATAGTTTACGATCTTTAAAATATCTACTGCATAATAAAAGTCCATGAAAAACAGCCTGTCCCCTGCACTTCCAAACCCATGTTTAGAATCAAAGGTAAATCCCTGCGCTGGTGTTTTCTACACCCTGTGACCCATCCTTGAGCAGGGAAAGGAAAGGAATAGAGGGGAAGTTTGACCACGGATGTTAGCAGAAAAGGAGAAACAGAAAACTCCACCTTCCGGATAAGAACTTGGGGCATCAGGCAATCCGCTGCTGTCATGAATACAAACCCATTTCCAGGAAAAAATAAAATCACTTCACAAGGGCTGATACAAAAATCACACCATTCAATCCCCATCAGACATTTCCTCACCCATGCTGCCTCTTGCCTACATTGCTGAAATATTTCTAGTAAATCCTATCACCACCCTCAATTCCTTTCTGGCAGCATCCAAAAAAATGATATGGCAATATCATAAATACCAGTATTTATTTCTATGCATTCATATTCCGTTTCCTCTACAGATGAATTTCCCAAAGTGCCTGCTGAGAAGCACACATTCTAAAGAGACTTTTTTTTTTAAAAAGGAAACTTTCTTGTACATGTTCCTTTGAAAATAATTTCATAAATAGTTTTAACATTAATTTATAGTGTAAACCTATCTACATTTTTTCAGAAGTAAAATCAGTTTATTGGCCGTCAGACTAAACTTAAATGGTTTTTCCTGTCATAATTTAGCACATTTTCCCCAGCAATAAAAATTGTACTCTGCCCATGCTTTCTTTTTCAATCATTACTCCCATTATGTCCATCGGAGCTTCATCCTTGCACGTTATAAGACGGAAGCCTCGGCCAGGTGAATACTGTAGTGATCATCCATGTTTTAAAAAACTGCAAGTGGTTAAGAAAGAAAAAGTGCCCAAAACACTGTTTTCGACTAATTCCAATGTTCATGCCCCGATGACGTCCAGATTCAAGAGCAAAATGTCAGTCAATGTTAGTCAATAAGACTAACTCGGGTTAGTCTTATTAGGATTTTATCCCGACTTCTTTATGCGGTGTATACTCAGGATGGCAAAGATAGCTAACACTCCGGCCCCTTCTTTTCCCCACCCAACAACCCTGCGCGGAGGCCTCAGCCGAGAGAATGGCAGACCCACATTGAGCCGCGAAGCCGGGCTGCGGGACCGCGAGAGAGGAGCGCTCGGGAGGCGCTCGGCTTCGCCGCTCGCTGGCAGACCTACCCCGGGCGAGCGGCTCCTGTCGTACCGCCCCGGCCCTCCTGCGCAGCCCTCGCATCCCACCTCCTCCTCCGGGCTCCCCGGGAGCCGCTCTGCAGGTCCCGCCTTTCAGGCATCGCAGCGCCGGGAAAGCGGAGGGCGCGACCCGCCCCCCCTGCCTGCTCGCCCGGCAGGCACCGCTTCGCCCGCGCCCTACCTGCGCACCAGAGGCCGCTCCGTCCGGCGCAGGTGGAGCCGCCGAGTACGCCGCCCAGGAGCGCCCGCCACACGCCTGGGATGGAGAGCCGGCCGGGGGGGCGGATAGGACTCAGCCTGGACTAAAGTAGGCAGGGAGCCCGAGCTTGGCGTGCGAGTCCCAGGCGGAAGGCAGAAGCGGAGGGGGGCGGGGGGGGCACCAGGCGCCCCTGGTCAGGAAGCCCCGCGCGGCCCGGCGTCAGAGGGAGGCCAGGAAAGCTTTGTGGCGGAGCGCCTCTTCTCGGGCGTGGAAGTCCAGGTAGAGGAGTGGGCCGAGGTCCTCGGGCCCCCGAGAATCGCCCTGCGGAGCCGCGGTGGGGCTACCCGCTTCCTTGCCGCTTCCGTTGGCGTGGTCACTCCCAGTGCAGCGGCCCCGGATTTCTGCCCGGAGGGCTTTCGGAAGTCTCCGCGGCAGATGCCCCAGCCGAAGTCCCGGAGCCTTCGGGAGCAGCGGCGCTCCGCCCTCGAGAAAGGTCCCTTTGACCAGCGGCGCCCGCCCGCTTCAGACTCTGCTCCAGGGAGCCGCTGGCCTGGAGAGAGGAGCCGGGGGGGGCGGGGGGGCTTTGAGAGAGTGCCGGAACTGCCGCCTTTTCCACCTCCTGGTTCTTCTCCCCCCAGCCCACCCCCGCCTGCCCAGACAGGCTTTCTCCAGCTCTCGGAAGGCCTCTGGCGGGGGATTCCGAAAATTGGACCCCCTCGTCTTAAAGTTGCCGAGATTGAAGAAGGTTGGGCCGGGCAGAGGGCGGAGGCTCCTTTCCTGAGCGCTGCCTTGTCCTCTCCTCCTTCTCCCCGCGGCGTGGATGAGTCCTGGCCGCGACTTTGGCGCCAGGCGTCCTTCTGCTTTTGTCTCAAGCCCAGGCGGCCGCAGGGCTTGCTCGAGCTCCGCTTTGACTGCCTTGTGTTGCTGTCCGAACAGACGGCGGTCCTGAGGGTGAACGTCGTAAACAACGACGGCAGACCGGTTCTGCTCCTTTGGCCGCTTTTGAAGAGCAGCTGCTCGGCTTCACACCCTACAAAGTTTCCCAAGGTTCTTGGGTTGTTTTCCCCCTGAGGATTCTCACGCCCACCGCAGCTCTGTGAATGGGGAAAATGACACAAAACGTCACGTGACGGCAATGCGATGTGGTCCGTTTGACCCCCGTGGTAGAGGGTCTTTTGCCTGAGCAGAGGATTGCCCTAGAAGAGATCCAAGGTCCCTTCCAACTCTCTTATTCTGTTATACTTCAAAAGATTTTAATCCAGACTCTGCCCATGGCATCCACCTGTATCTCCTACATAGCTCCCAATTCAACAAATTTAGATTTCATCCCACTTCAACCAGCTCATAACAACCGTTTATCCCACATAATTACATGCCCCATTCATATATGTATGAAGCACCTCTGGAGCAGCAGCTGTCAGGCAGCAGGAGGCACATGAGCTCTTGTGTTAAAACAGATGCTCAGACTGCTGGCAGCTGTATTGGAAGTTGAGACTGGGACATAGCTTTGAAACCAGGGCCAGGACTCCAGGCAAGGCCTTGTGTGCACGCAATGCACCGAGAAAGTGATTAAACCAGGCCATAGGGCTGATCTCATTCAGAAATGTCTCAGCCTGGCCGCGGCTCTTGGGCATTTCATGCAGCCATCTTCTTTCTGAGCAGGAACATTGGATCCTTTGCATATAAAGAAAATTCTTCTCAGTTGAGGCATGTATAGTTCTTAAACAATGGGGGAAATGGTCATTTTTGTAAAAAGGCGTTGTGTCTTCCTCTTCCTCCAGCCTCAGTGCCTGTATTCTTTGGCCTCTCTTTGGGCAGGCCACAGCTGGTCAGTTGTGTTGGAGGTTGTGCTGGTTCTCTGGGGAAAGTGCAGTCTTTCCTCAAAGCCAACACCCGTTCATCTTGGATGGACTTAACACCTAAAAGCCGTCAGTGTCTCTGAAGACAAAGATGCGGGATGTGACTGTCTTAGGAAAGCAAACCAAGGGAGTGTCCGGTTCATGTTTTCTCCTTTAAACAGGGTCCAGTGACAGCTCCAAAATGATCTTAATAACTGAAGAATTCTTGCTCTATTACAGAAGTCATTGAGAAATTCACATATGAACTGGATATATAACTAAAAGCAATGATCATATTTGCAAGTAATATCTGGTGCTTGTTTTTAATTCTTTCATTAAAAGCACTCAGTGGAAATAATTTATGGATCTGTATTGCAAATGACTTTTGGCACAGCTAGTACACAAAATATAGCCATCAAATGTCTTGTCACAATCTAATAGCCCTGAATTGGGATTCACCTCATTGCTTTTGAAAGATGTCACTCCATATAAATGCCTTTAACGCCTGATAGAAAAATTTTATGAGCACATTGACAAATGAAATAACAATGGGAATTTGATTAATGTTCAAGTAAAATGAATGTTAGCCAACGGGAAGAGAAAGAGGAGAGAGAGATTTTGTTGTAATAGTTCCCACCAAATTGCAGAAAAGAAGGAAAGAAGATACAAAAATACTGTTTTGCACAATCAGTTTTTACTGTAAAGAAAAAGGGAGGGCAGTGTGCTGACGCAACCCAGCAAAGCTGCAAAGGGCAGCGTAGCAGCCAAAGCACCAGCACTCCGTGCTCCTCTTAAGGGTGTGAGGAGAGCAGTTGGCTGCACAGAATAGCGGTTATGGCGTTCCTTTTGGTGTGGGAGACTGAGGTTCAAATCCCAGCTGGTACCTACCTTCACAGCAGTGATCCTTTTTCATGTAAAAATATTTTTCTTTGAAGTGACATTCCTTTAATGATATTGGTTGGGAATAGAAGAAGCCCTCATCCTGCAGTGGATAGACAGTGGCTAAAATTATGATGATTGTAACTTAGGGCATGTCCAATTTTTCAAGTTTCAATTTCCAAACATTAGGGGTGCTCAAAAGTTGTGACATGCCTTGTGAAGTGCAAAGATATTATGGTTACTTTAATATAATTTAGATGTGCTTGGTAAGTAACTACATAAATATCACAACTTTTTAGCATTTACTTTGTTTGATTTGAATATCTTTCCATGCACAGAGAGGGAGGGTCAGGAGTTTTCCTCCTCTGGGTGCAAAAAGCTTGATTTTTAAAAATAGCATGAAATATCATTTTTAAGCATGAAGCTCCACCCTGAATCTCGTCCCCTCCTCCGTTTTTCAATTTGGGCTCAAAAAAAATTTGGCCTCCAAAGCATCAATTTTTCTGTCCACGGGATCAGGAGTTTTCTTCCTATCAATGCCAAAAAGCTTGTTTTTGTTTTTTTAAGGAAGAAATACCATTTTTAAGCATGAAGCTCCACCCTGAATCTCGTCCCCTCCTCCGTTTTTCAATTTGGGCTCAAAAAAAATTTGGCCTCCAAAGCATCAATTTTTCTGTCCACGGGATCAGGAGTTTTCTTCCTATCAATGCCA